TTGGATCTGTTCCTTTAGTTTTAACCACTGTGCCCTGCTATCTAGGCTGTCAACAATGTTGCCTTTAGCCTGAAATAGACAGGAGAGCCTATCTTGGGGCTCTGACCTTTAAGGATGTTAGCCCTTCTGCACTTATGTGGAGACAGCAAGTTGTAAAATAGAGAAAAACTTTGTTTTTGTAGGAAATTTACAGGGACACCATCACCTGGCCCACGTGGATGGCTGCAAGAACAAAGAATGCCTGCAACAAGAAGTTTGCAACAACCAACCATACCCCCTCCCTTGTTTGTGTGTGTGTGTGTGTGTGTGTGTGTGTGTGTGTAAAAGGAACTTGTATTCTGACTAGAGCATGATGGTTCTCCAAGACATTGTTCGGCCATCCTCTCAATCAGCTGGCTTTCAAATAAAGTCGCTATTCCTTGCCCCAACATCTCATCTCCCAATTTATTGGCCTGTCGTGTGGCTAGCAGAGTGAGTTTGGACTTGGCAACACCAGTGGCACAGTGCAGGGACCCATGTTTGGCAGCCCAGCTGAAGAGGCTTCCATTTGTTGGAGCCACGCCCCACAGGCCAGTGAGGAGGAAGGAAATCACACACAACGTATCCTCCTTAGACAGCAGCACCTCCTGTCTGCAGGGCAGGGGCCTCTTTCTCCTCGTTCTACAGTCTGGAAACTGGGGACCATTTAGAGTGTGCAGTGTGCTTAAAACCAGGATAATCTGAAATGTTACCTGCGTGAGAAGTTGCCTCCTCTGCAAAACAATCTAGAACCTCAGAGATCTGCTCCCTGGACCCAGGCCTCCCTGACATGGTAGGTCGCAGGACCAAATGCCTGTGGCTGTCATGCTGACATCTAGGGCTCCCACTAGCCTCATGGAGTCCAGCAAGGTCCATCCTTTCCATAGGCTCCTCCTTGAAAGGGCAGAAAAGGCAGGCCAGAGTTTGCAGAGAGCCATTACCAAATACCAAAGGTGAGCAAAAAGAAGGAGGGTTCAGTTACCAGGAAGAACCTGAGCTG